AAAGCAAAATATAAAGATGTTGAATTCAACTTTAAGAAATTTGATTTGTCAAGTGAGGTAGTTGCATCGATGATTGAAAAACAATTAACATTCAAAGATAATTAAACTAAGGGGTTAGGGTATCACAGTCTTCCACCTTCCTTTAATGACAACTACAACCCACCCCTTGAGACCAAAGAGGAAGAGACATCTGCTTAATTTGGCCCACTCCCTGAACTAGCTCCAGCTTCAGTTAAGACTAAACAATTAGGGCCAACTGAGGGTGTTGAGGTGAAGAATACTTATGTTTCTACTTCCTGTGCGAGTAAAGTAGCAGAAAATGAGAGCAAAGAGATTACTATTGAATAAACCAATGTCTCCTTGAACTCAGAACTTGTTGCTTCCAACTCAGTTACTTTTGATCAACCTGCTGTTGGTAAATACAGCCACCAAAACAAGCCAATCAGAGTGCTTGCTGCAAATGTACTTGTGGGAATAACCATAAACGTGGTAGGCGTACGCCACTAGGGGCAGGAAGAAACAACTTCCCAATGAACAAAAAGACTTGCTTTCACTATGGAACACCTGGACACATTGCCAGAAATTGTCCTAATCACGCATACGTTCCCTACTACGCACAAGGCTGGCAGAACGCCCCAATAGGGATATTTTCAAAAAGAAAACCCTTCAAGGCCACGTTCAAACAACGACGACTGGAATGCCACGAAGGGCAAGAGTTAAACTCCCAAGGCCAAGAAATCAAATCTCAACAATAAGAAGAGTATGCCGGCCAAGAAGTCCAATCCAATAGATGCTTCAGTGAAATCAAGATCAGTCAGATCAAATTCATCTCAACGACCGACTTCCCGTTCAAAAGCAAGTACTGAGGCACCCATCGAATCGAATAAGAAATGGGTTAAACCCAACTACAAATAGGTATCAAAGGTTCAACCTCCGAAATCTTCCAAAGATTCTAATATTTCTTCATCTTCTGTTTGTGATAAACATGACATGTTATGAGAGAGAGTACCTTGTGTAGATGACAAAGGTCAACCCGGTTTCAAAATGGATTGGGTTCCAAAGACCAACTGATCTCGTTCTATGTTATAACAGCTATGGACGCATATCGTCAGACTTTAATTTGTTGCTAGTGGTTGTTCTAAGCATATGATAAGGGACATCTCTCAACTGTGCAACACTCAGAACTTTAAGTGAGAGTATGTGTCCTTTGCAGGAAAGGAAGAAAGGAAGGGACACATACTCTCACATGGAGTTAGTTCTTAATGACATGAAGAATTCAGTCAGTGAATTACGGTTTGAGTTCTCTTCTCGATACTCCTAAGTTTCTCTTTCATTGATTCATTTTAAAGACAATTTTCTTTATTTCCTTATAGCTTTTCGTTAGTTTTGTTAATTAGGATGTGAATCTGAATTATCTAGACTCTATGTTCAATGTGCTGGTAGGCTCAAAGGATTTGACAGTATGGATTTAGATAGGATTCTTTGGACTGACCATATAATGCTCGGGTAGATTGAGCAGTGAGATAAACATAGGAACCCACAGGATACACTAAAGTAATACACATCTAGAACTGTGGCTTAACTTTTCCTTGATGTACGGACTTATGTCCTTAATTCTGGTTCTGATAAGGCGACTAGGGAGTTCTGATAAAGTAGGTCTGTAAAAATTATTTTCTTGCTTTCTATCTGTTATTCATATGTTGCTTCCTCTATGTGATTGGAAGAGATCCAACCTGGATTGCAACATATGCAACCCTAATTCTACACACCTCCTTATCTATGAAATTCTATCTATCTATTAGCCATATGTTGTCCCCTCTGCATGATCGGAAGATCCAACCTGGGACACAACATATGCAACATTATACCTCTCAATCCCTCTATCTTTGTTAGTCATATGTTGTCCATTCTGCGTGATTGAAAGAGATCCGAACTGGGACACAACATTTGCATCTATCTCTATATCTGACTTCTTTCTTACTGATTGAATACTCACATAAAGTAAGGAGTTCTTTGGAAGTTCTTGATTACCAGGGTATGTCGGGATGTGGGAAACACGTTCTAGTACATCTAAAATTGAACTATTTAATAGGTTGTCTGTAGATCTTTCTGCTTAATTTAAGTGGACAACAATACCCATGGTCGTTCTCATCTAAATGGTTTATTTAGAAAAGTTTGTTAATATTCTTCGTGTTTAAGTGGACCACAATACCGACAATTGACCAGATCTATTCATGAAGAGGAAGGTGCTGATAAATAAATCTAAGATTGCCAGACAACTTTGATCCCAAATATTTTTGTTTTTATTAAATTTGTTCATAGTTTTCCTCTATGCACAAATTTTGGTGGAGAATTAAAAAAAATCAAAATATTAAAAGGCTAAAAATAGTGTTATTTTTGTTTTATTTCTTGTTCAGAAAAAATCAAAAATCCAAAAATATTTTTATTTCTGTTTTATCTCTTTCAGAAAATATAAAAAAATCCAAAAATATTGTGTGCTAAGTTTTCTTTTAGTTTTGTTTTGTATTGAAAGCTGAATTCAGGTGTAGATGAGACTCATGGAGACTGTATCGAGAATTTCTAAGCCAAGGCTTCGTCTATGATCATTGAAGAATTCCCATTCGAAGGAGCAAGAAATGAAGATTATTCTTTAAACATTAAATCCTTCAACCCCAAACGCAAGGTGAAGTGCAATTGAAGATTATGTGACGGATTGCATTGAAGCCTCCTCAATCAGTCTGCTGCTATCTATGAACCTGCTGAAGTGATCCAGAAGATTTGATCTCTCTATTCTCTCTGAAGATTCTCAAGCTGAAAGCGCTATCTTTCAAGAATCAGTACAACAAGCCTCCTCACTCAATATGCGTTCCACGTCGAATTCTGAAGAAAAGCCCAACAGCTAAAGATGAAGTCATTCATAGAAGATTCATATGTTCATCTTGAGGCTGTGAAGAATTTGAAGACTAAAGCTGTAGCCAAACTCCAAATGAAGATTAACAAGAAAACTCAGCTACCTTTTTAAGGGGAGTTTGTTGGGTCAATTAGAAAAAGAAAGCTATAAACCAATGGGGAGATTGTTGGGTCTAAATTATGGTTTATACTCTGCTTTTCTACGTAATTGTAATTTTTTGTAGTGTAATATGTATTTGCGGCTATGTTCACGACCAGGTTGTTGTGTACGCCCGTAAACCCGTTCACGGCCATGAACCCATTTACGACCCATGTTCCCCATTTTCATATAAAAAGATGTTAGGTGGGTGAGGAGTGATTGATGAACAGAAGAGAGTGTACGACTAAGAGAGAAAGAAATGATCTTAAGTGTGTGTAAGTGTGTGAATCTTGTGTAAAGGAATTTCATTCTAATCAAATCATACAATATTCATATTCTTCTTCTTCTTCTTCTCTTCTATTTTGATCTGGCATCATCCGTTTGATTGTGATTCCGCACTATCAAACGGATCTGATTGATACACAGACATATTGGGGACTTATAGTGAGTATGAACTACTCCAATCCATTCGAGATGTCGTTTCAAACATTTTAGAGTGCATTGTGTCATAAAAATGCAAGCTTAGTCCTTTACTTTTCATTCATGCATGAGCTATGGAGTTTTTGGTAATGTTGGAGGATAGGATTTTGAGAGTAAGCTCTCTTTAGCCATGTAAAGGCATAATGTTTGAGAGTTTATAGAGTAATATACCTTTTAGGGTTAGATTTGAAATTGGGGTAAAATGTCTTAATGATTAAGAGCTTAAAAATTATAAATGAGTTTAAGCCGAGTAAACTGAGCATAAATCTGGCTATGCCCACCGTATCTAGCTCAGACCTTGCTTTCAGTTTTGGTGCTCTACTCCTAGCATAGGGATTTGGTACGCCGCGCGTAAGGTCAATTGTGTCGAGCTTTATCTTTTTGTCAAAGTGTGACTTTTGGATCAATTTGTGAGGGTTTGGGACTGCTTATGTTTGGAAATTCACCTTAATTGTTAATTAGGGTTATTTGGTGTGATTAATAGGCATAGTCTAGTTCCAATAGTTTAGGTGTGAGTTCTATCAGTCGTCTATGTAAGGTGAGTCCCTTTACTATTCTTAATGATGTGGTAGAATATATGTGTTGAACAACTGGGTCTATTTTTCTTACTATGATATGTGTTAATTTGTGTGATTAGACTTCGAATAGTGTGCATGGTTGCTGATATCTCACAAGGCGTGCTGTTTGCGTACAAAGATTTTTGGTAGTCTCCAGAGTTGCTGATAACCCATAACTGTCTATTTGTGATATGTTGTCTATTTGTGATATGTTGTATGTGATATTTTAGAGAACTTACTAAACTTCGTTCTTACACTTGTTGATTACGTGTGTTTCAAGTAGTTCTTATGACCGCGAGAAGGCAAACGCTTAATTGTACACATTTTTCTTCTGTTTCCGATTCCGGATATTTTGGGACACTCTCATATTTTTATGATGATGATTTGTATTTGAAACTTGTGATTTTCTTAAGATGAGTTTTTATGAACAATATTTTAAGTTAATTAAAAATAAAAAAAATGGATTGAAAATTTAGATGTTATAATATGTCTTCACGTTTTATCTATCTTCAAGAGTTTTTTTGATGGAGTAGTGACCTACATTTATTTTTCAACTTTAAATACATTGGATGGAGAGTAATGACCTTCATCTATTTTTCAACTTTAAATATCAATCAATGGGCTGTGATTACATATATGGGCCATGAAACTAAACCCCAAGTGTTGAGAACTCGTACCATTTCACCATAAATTAATGAAACCACTGACCACATACTCCTAGACGAAACTTTATACAATTTAACCTCGTATGTGGTTTCTGTGGTTGTTTAAAAAAAATGTTAAATATTTATTACAAAATTATTAGACAAACGACTAAATTAGTTAACTTTCTCGTATAACAATGATTAACCCATAAAACAATAAAGTAACCTTGATTATTAATTTCCCACATTAATTAATCTTTAACGTTTTCCCTCTTCACAAAATTAAAAGTTTGAACTTAGTTGCAAAACGACAAACCAAGGACAAAATAGTAATTCAAACATACCTACCCGGTGACACCCGGAAGTGGTGGTTATATACGCAAAGTAATCTTTCTTTTGTCAAGCTCTGCTAAAACTTCCTCTGCTTATCAATGGCGGAACTCGAGTGCCCGTCGGTGATGAGCAAGCTGATCGCCTACCTCTCATCTCTCCTCCAACAAGTAGCTGAATCTAATGATCTCAACCCTCGCTTCCACCAACAGAAGATCTCAGCTTTTCATGGTCTTAGCAGACCATCTATCTCGATTCAAAGCTATTTAGAAAGGATTTTCAAGTACGCCAATTGTAGCCCCTCTTGCTATGTTGTGGCATATGTTTATCTCGATCGATTTACTCAACAACAGCCATCGCTTTCTATCAATTCATTCAATGTTCACCGGTTGCTGATCACGAGTGTAATGATTGCTGCCAAGTTCATGGATGATATGTAAGATTTTCTTCTTAGAGTGAGAATTCGAGGTCTGGAATTGGAATTGGAGTTCGTTTAGTTCAGAATCTGCACTGATTTTGCTCAAATTCCAAATCCAAGCCGTTGGATTCGGTATGTGTGTCGTAATTGAGCTTATTTAGGGCATTTTAATGAAGAAATTAACGGGATTTTCAGACCTGTAATCAATGAATCCTTCAATTTCTATGGATCATGTTCTTGGCATCAAATTAGCATGAAAACAAATTCCCATTTCTGAAAGAATTACAGGCTTTTACTCTCTCCAGTTGCTTTTGCAGCTAGGAACAGGGAAAAAAGGGAAAAAGCAAATATACTTTTCTTCAAATTCTAGGTTTCTATGTCTTGTTTAAAAGAGGATACATGATGATTTGAAGGGTGATTGAGAATCTTCCCTTAGATTTCAGAAACAATAATCTATAGTCATGACTTGTTATGGAAATAGTGAAACAACGATCTACATTTTTTCAAATTGCAATTTTCAGAAAAACATTGGCCCTATTAACCATGTAGACATTTCCTTTTCTTGTCATTTTTAATCATTAGCTCTTAGAGTTTTGAAATCTGTTCACATCACACACCAACTTTATAACATAAAAATAGTCATTTACATTATTATCAAACACAAATTATACACCTTGAATTAGCTATACACAAAGATTTAATAGTTTTAAAATCTTATTTACCCAAAGGGGTAATAAAAAGACATCAAGTGATTGCATTATTTTCTATCTTGTTTTCTTCCCCACCTCATGAATGCCACTTAGAAAGAATATCACATCCCACCACATGAACAATCATGATTAACAAAAAAGTTCAACTTCAAGAAATCACTAATGTCAAGACAATTGTATGTTCAAATTAAACATAATTGTAGTAGTAGTTGACAATGTTTTCTTGTGTTTAATTATGACATAATTTCTACAGGTATTATAACAATGCATACTATGCAAAAGTAGGAGGAATCACCACAACAGAAATCAACTTTCTTGAAGTGGATTTCCTATTTGGATTAGGGTTTCAATTAAATGTAAATCCCACCACATTTCACACTTATTGTTCATATCTTCAAAAAGAAATGTTTCTTCTTCAACCTCCATTAAACACACAAGATCCATCACCATCATCACCATCATCATCATCATCATCATCATCATCATCATCATCATCATCACAAACATACAAATCAAGATCCACAAAACTCCTCCACTATGAAGAAGATCAAAAACAAGAAGTGGTAGCTGTCTAGTTAATTAATTTGCATCTTTTTTTTTTCTCTTTCTATCTTATATTATGAAGTTTGAGTGCTAATTAAAATTTAGGTAGATTTGTAGATTAATATTTGATATGGGTTTAGAAACTTAAACCATTTTCTTTTTTGTATTTTCTTGTTGGGGTGCATGTGACTTGAATCAAAATAGTGGTATATACAGATGGGATGCTTTTTATATACTTTACATTATGGATTTGATGTGTAGATTTATGGTTTCTTGAAGTGTATATATGTGGGATGTGTAAATGTTTGGCTTTTTTCAAACTTTACAGACTGGAATTTGAGTGACACTTTAAATCGATGAAATCTTTATAAAGTTTCAACATTTAAGGTGATGTGAATTGTATACCATGCATTAGAAGTTGTAAATGTAGTATGGTGAAAAGGGGTAGGGTTTAAATTGTTTCTTGGAGATACTTTTTTGTTGATTATGATGAATTAAAAGGAGAAAGATTCTAAGTTGTGGTCCATCTGGTTGGGTAGGGTATGGATGTATAAAGTTGAGAAAGGGGACATTGTGTAAGATCCAATCTGGAAAGAGAAAGAGAGAGGAAGATGAGTGGATGTCATTTGAATGTCTCATTTTCATGTAATAAAAACATAAATTATACTATAATTTATATTTCGGTTTATTGTTTATATATACATTTATTGAGTATAATCATAAGAAAACTACATTGGCCATGTCATTTATAGTCATGACCATATGTAGAGACCATATCAATAGAAAAGAAAAAAAAAATAGAAGGAAACTAAGACTATTTTTTTACTCGTGATATATTTATTTATTTATTTATTTGTTTATATATAAGATGTGGCTATAGTTGGAACCGGATACAAGATATTTGTATTGATTCTTGAGATGGGGAACATTCAGCATGTGCTTTAACACACAATATAGTTGGCCATGTGCCATGTTGAAACAGAGATGTCAAGCCTATGGATCATCACATAATATGATGTATTCTCCCTTTAAATTTACAAGTAGGCAAATACATCCATTCATATTATTTTTTCACTTTCATTGTCTTTTTGTAAGAATGATGGTGATACAATCTTCGTAAATATGGTTACTTAGATAAAAGGGGAATAAAAGTATGGAACAAAGGTAGAAACACATTACATTCAAATTGAAATCACCTATAAAATATACAATACTGCTTTATGAAACAATTTGGAGCAGTCATGCAACTAACAACATATTTTGTTTAAAGGCAACCTTGTGCAATCATTTGCACCGGATAATGGCAACTCTACATATTTTCTGTTTTGTTATGTGATCGTTTTTCTATATTACAAAAGAAGAGGCCGGGTTGGAGATCATGTTTCTACGTCACTGCATCACTGCCTGCCGTCTCCACATGCGCTAGTAGTTGAAAAATTGTCCACGGTATCAATACCAAATGATGTACAAGAAGCTATGAAAGATGAAAAATGGAAGAAACCCATGAATGAAGAAATGGATGCGCTACAAAAGAACCAAACTTGGGAACTTGTGAGACTTCCTCTCGGAAAAAAAAGGTTGGATGCAGGTGGATATATACAATGAAACTAGATTCATAAGGAAACATAGATCGATGCAAGGCGAGACTCATGGCCCAAGGATATACACAAATATATGAGATCAATTATGGAGACATGTTTGCCCCTGTAGCCAAGATGAACACAATCCGAATCTTAATCTTGATTGCAGCCAACAAAGATTGACCTCTAAAGCATTTTGATGTAAAAAAACACCTTCTTGAACGATACTTAGAAGAAGAAGTGTGCATGAATCTTCCTCCTTGAGTCAAAAGCAGCGGAGTGGTGTGTAAACTGAAGAATGCATTATATGGTCTGAATAAACTCCCCTCGACCTGGTCAAGCTTCATGAAAAAAACGGGTATAAACAAATTGATGTTTATTATAGACTGTTTGTTAAAGACAATGGAAAAGTGACTGCTCTGATCGTATATGTTGACGATATGGTAGTCACTGGGAATGACCCAGAAGAAGTGGTGAATCTTCAAAGTATACTTGCCACAGAGTTTGAACTAAAGGATCCTGGACACCTAAAGTATTACTTAGGTATTTGTAACACCCAATTTCCATATCAGATCAATTTAGGGCTTCAAAGAGTCAAATTCATGGTTTTTAGGTAAAACTAAGGCTCACAACATGACCATAGAGAGGTCATGATGTTGGTAGTGATCAAATGAAATTCTGATTTAAACTGAGCTCACGGCATGAGCAATAGGAACTCATTACTTGAGATGCGTTGCAGCCCAAACCATGATCTTTTAGGGTTTCCCTCGTATTAAAACCCCATAAACTTCATTTTAGGGTTCCTAAACAACCTCTCTCATCCCTAAGCACAGTAAAACCCTAACCCTAGGCTCTCATTGTGATTCTTGAGCTTTTGGTGGGGTTTTGGTGGTTTGATGAAGAAGAGATTACCATTGAAGCATAGATTCGGCTTGGAAATTCCATTTTCAACCTCTAGCAACACCTTTCGACCATTATAAGCAACCAAGATTCAAGCTTTTCGTTTCCGTGTTTCATGATCAAAGGTTTTATGTATGTTTACCTTTGGCTATAAGAGTTAGAGTGGTGGTACGCCATAAAGTTAGCAACTTTATGGGTCCTTAGGGTCCCTTGGTGATTATATGTTATGAATCTGAAGTTTGGATGCTGTTTGGGTTTATGCTTGAGATTCAATATCCTTTTCTTCATGAATGCCCTAGTATGAGCTCAAGTCTTCTATTGTACATACAAGAACTTAAAGAATCAATTTTTATGATCCTTGGGGTGTTAGGAAGCCTCCTGGAAAAGATGGATTAATGGCTTAATGGATTAAGAAGTTTGTGGATCAAAATGACGTTTAGACTGATCCCATGACATAAGGATATGCTTGTCACATCATGAGGACTATGAGTCCATATTATTTTGTCTTGTAGTGGCTCACAACGTGAGCCATAGATGGCCACGCCGTGAGGGGTTATTGGCCGTTGAATTTTGTTGACCATTGACTGTTGACTTTTTGACCGGTTTGACTTTGGGTCAAAGTTGAAGGATTTGGGATGTTGATTAAGTTTCTTCCGTGTTTTGGTGTTAGAAGGTTAGCAGGAGCAAGCAGTGCAGAAAGGGAGCGCATTGCAGTGTTTTCGGGTTCTTCGATTAAGATTAGTTTTCCTCACTGTACCCATCGGTCGAAGGCACCAATGTTGGCCCATTAGTTATGGTCATCATTTATTAGAAGGGTGCCCTAGAGGCTGTATGTATCCATGTAGGATAGATTGAGGAATCTTGATCTAAGCTTTCTTGCATGTTCATTGTTTGGTTGTGCTCTAAAATAGGATCATTTGTCCAGGTGCCTATCTCTCCTCTAGGTATATATAATCACGCATTCCTTGGAGAGTTGGTATTATACCCTTATGTGTAGGATGTTGCTATGTGATAGTGATATTCTAGATTTATATATATCCTTGTGTGATAGGATGCAACAATAGTGGTATGCTGGTTTTAGTACCAGTAGGTTGGTTATCGTCTAGTGGAGTGCCCTACGAGTTGTATGTAGTAATTTAGGATAGCCTGAGAACTCTTGATCTACGCTTTATTACTAGTTCCTTGTATGGTTGTGGCTTTAGAGTAGGATCATCTGTTCGGGTGGCTATCTCACATATGGTTACTTATGGTTACGTATTCCATGGAGGTTAGCTGGTAGCGGAGTCGTGTGCTGTGAGGGATCTAGTAGGTAGTAGTGAGGTTTGAGTGTAATTGTGATTCTTGGAGGTGTTTCTATTTTTTATGATTTATTCTTCAAAAATAAGGTATAACATCATAATTTCTGATAGCATCATAATTTCTGAAAGAATATACACATATTATTTTTGTAAAAGCATGCTTTATGGTTGTGTATTGATTGATGGGTCAGTACATTGGTTTTTTGATGTGCTTGGATTATTTACTTTGGTATTCGTCTAGAATAAAATAAATAAAGTAGGGTCATATAATGGTTTAGTATAGAGAATTCTAATAGAATTAATATGGTTCAAGTAAGTTAATATCAATTTTTACCTTGTTAACATTAACAGGCAGTGTTGTAGTAGCACTACCTCCAGAAAAAGAATCGGAAGCTGAAGACGAATTTGTTGGATTAGGTGTCTAAGCCCATAACTATAATCAGTATGTACTTGACCTGAGAGTAGCATGGTCCATTTGGGTTGCATACCACCAGGACAATTTGATAGGATGGACTTTTGAGAAAATGTTATTTGTGATTTATTAATATATTATAAGTTTTAATATATTAATATGAAATCATATAATTTAATTAGTATTGATTAAGAATTAATTTGGAATTAATTTAGTGATCAAAAGAGATTAATTAAATGTAAGAGGATTGATTTGGTAAATCAATCATTCTTATGGTGTGGGCTTATGGTTATTTAGGATGGACTAAACCAATATGGTAGTCCATAGATAGTCCATGGAGTTTGTAACCCATGGATTCTAAGTAAGATGAAAAGTCATTCGCATTAGGGTTTACATGGATGTAACCCTAATCCTAGCCACACTATATAATAAGCCCCTTAGCATCCAAAATGGCACACTAGTGATCCTTGGAGTTCCATGAGCCGATTTTGGTGCAAAAAATACTCTCGCAAAAGTCTCCTTTGTCTAAAGGTGTGTTGTGATTGCATTTGAGGTGCAACACTTGGGGTACTAAGTTCTTAAGGCCAAACACAACAAGTTATACAAGCCACAACCAAGAGGTAACTCCATAACTCAATTTTATGTTATTTATATCACATTGTATGATAGTTGTAGGCTTAATGCTTTGGAAACAATATTGCATGTATAATTATAGAAAACATAGATCCAAAGCATTCAGTGGTATTAGAGCCAAGGATTGTTTTCTATTATACTTGATGTGTTATTTGTTTTCAAAGTGAAAAAATTGAATTTCTGCCTTCTTCCCAGTTCACTTGCGGAGT